GTATCTCTTTATGCCGATGTCAGACTTTGCGAATCGCGCGATTCGCTAGCGTCTGCGGTCGCGTCGCGGCCAGTGAATCACTCAATTGGCTGGTACCGCAACGCGACCGCGGACGCTAGCGAATCGCGCGATTCGCAAAGTCTGACATCGGCCTATGAGTTCCAGCACTGTCAACATTTCTACAAAGTCCAGTTTCTGTAATTGTATCTGCTTCGATTCTCTGAATAAAAAATGTTGCTTTGTGATTTCTAAAAATGTCCAACAAATAGCTGACACGCTGCGGGTAATAATGCTTGCAATGTACGCGTCGGATGGTCCACGGCGGCACGTCGCGCACATGCGATTCAAATTCGAGCCGACTTCCGGCAGGCTGACGAGAGTTTTGTATATTGCGTTTAATGTCGCTGTTGTTTCGCGAGAATTGATGCAGGCGCGTTGTATATGGCAATCACAAGTAGCACGCACCACCTCAATGGGCTCATATTCATACTGCAACCGAGTGCGACGTCCCGTGGTGACTTTATAGGGCACTTCATGGCCTGATAGCTTGCTTCGACAAACCTGACTATAAGTAAATATAGCGGGTCAACGAGTTCAAGGGGGCACCGACCAAGATTCACGCAATCGCGACGCGGCGTGTAGTAAGGGGTCGCACGCGACGCGTCAGCGCGAAACTTGCGGTATTCAATCCTTCCCCCAGGGGGATATATCCCCCTACTCTGATTCAATCCTCTGGGGGGACAAAAAAGGGTTGCGTCATAGGACCTAGCATACCTCTGTGTTTCTACCTGCCAGACAGTTAGAGCAGCGCGACCCCTCAGGGGAAAGAGTGCTCAGTGGAGGGTAGTAGCGCTGGCAGGTATTCCATGAATAGCAGATTGCTAGGGAATTTACAATACAGGAGGTATGGTCATAAAAGTAGTATGGCCAGGTCAGAAGCTGTCAAAAGCACTGGAAGTAATGCCTTCTGTCTTGAGCAGTAGCTGAGTTCGCGAAGAAGAAGCAGTGGGCGCCGAGAGAGCACAAGGACGAGCGAGACGCAGACACCAACACATTCATAACGGTAATGCAAACGGCAGCCTAGAGCGCTCGTGACGCGCTTCCGAGTCACAAGAGAAGAGTTAAATCAGCAATCAATGAGCTTCTTATCCTTTTCCGAGATGAAGTTGTTTAAGACTAGTCACGGAATCTGCTTCACAGATCTGAAATGCTACAGGGGTCCTTATTGCGGCTATTTAAGGAATCCTCCCCGGGAGAATCATGATTTTTTCTCGCCATAATTCACTGCTCGAGACCTATCGTTCACGATAAGAACGAAAAGAACAAAAATTGCATTTGTTTTGGTAAAAAATTCGAAAAACCGGAAGGGCTGCTACGCGTTCAAATTCCCGCCGGACATCTGTCACAAATGCTGGCGACGGGAACGCTTCCACTTGGTTCACGGAGTGCTGTCACTAGAAACTCTTTTGACCTTTTGACTTATTGCACTAACATCTCACACTTCTACTGCATCCTATTCTATCGATCGTTCATCTTTATTTCCTTAAATCGCACGCTTCAACTCGATTCTTCCAACATGCCGCCTAAAAGGTAACTTTTCCATGCGCCTTGGCTCCGCCCGACCTACCTTCGACCGCCCACGTGCTTCTTGTAAGTTTGTTTCCTTTAAAGCCTGAATTTTCGTGTGTGAAACTTTGTATAGTGCCTCTAGTGATCACAACTGACATATTCACGTTTGGAAAATGCAAGAATTTTTCGGGGAGGATTCCTTTGATGTAAATGTATGACCCCTTCCATGAACTCTGTTTGCTGTTCCTGAAACTCACCGTTAAGCTGAAAGGCTGCTTCGCACTTCTTTGCATTGCTCGTCGTGCTCCGACGTCGTAATGTGCACTCAAAGGCACTGAGCACGATAGCTGGAGACTGGAGCGGCTTCGATGACGTTACTGGACGTCAATGCTGGATCTGGCTCCTCAGCGCGCTAGAGGGTGTGGCTGGGTCCACCCTCTGAGGCCCTTTCACCATTCGTGACGCCACAGAAATCCCTCCGCCCTCCAGCCCTCGACGTCACCGAAATCGCTCTGCGCACAGCCATCGTGTTCACTGCCTTTATCACCTTCCCTCCCCCCCCCCACTGCGCTAGTCCCAGGAACAGTGAAGGCCTTCGTGTTTCTGTTTTCTTCCCCCCCCCCCTCAGCTAAACTGCCCACTTTTTATTGACCCACTGACCAAACGGCGGTGAGTAAGTCAGGGTCATTTTGTTGTCACTGATAGTGATAGCGGTTGATAAGAAGTGAAAACAAGCTGATCAAATAAAGCGTCCCCTTTCATCCATTTTCAGACTTCTTTTTTTATACAGTACATGAACACATGCTAGCGACACATTAGCTCTTTTCGCAATGAAAACCCAGAACGAGAATGTATGGGCTGAGCCACGGACTAGTGTGTACTCCAGAGAAACCTCGAATTGATTGGATGGTTTATGTAGTCGTCAAGTTTTGGGATTTGACTTTCATCAAAGAGCTATTGATAATGTCACATCAGTTTCACCCCTAATGAAAACGCTGCAATCACGCACTACGGTGACCAACAGACATTACTTGCTTGCCCTAGAGCGACTGTTACGATTGTACGGTCATCTTCAGTCTTCTGACGAACCTATGGTCGGATGAAGGAGGAACTAATGTGTGAAACTATTAGGTGAGCAGAATCGCTCGCTTACCGTAACAAGTGAAGAATATTTCGGCAAGGTAAAAGCGGGTCGAAAATCCAGTCAAAACCTTCAGAAATTAGGTCATCGAAGGGTTTCACTGACTTGAGCTACTCAGCTTGTATGATAGCGCTGTTTAAACTTTGATGGTCCTGGTCCTCCTCCTACCAATTCATGGGTTCTATAGTGACTGTCAGGTAAATTACCTCGGAGTTTTTTTTTGCATCAGCGTTTTACTGTGACTAATGGGAACTAGTAAAGGCATTCAAGGTCGAGTTTTCTTTTCGCAGTCGACGTAGGTAGATAGTTGCCTATCTTTATTTTGTCAGTGGAAATCGCATGATAGGATCGCACGTCTTATCTGACGAAAACGCATGAGTTGATCGTTCGAGGTGCGAGCACAGGATCGAACGGGCATTCAATGAGCTCTTCACGATTCCTTTTTAGGAGACCTTCATAAAAGGAAATCTAATTTGGGCTCAATCGTTTTTGTCACGCTCTCTATCAAATGGAATTACGACTGATACATTCACAGGCCCCGAATTTAGTAACTATGACTAACGGAACCGGCCAAACTACTGAATGAGAAATACTCCCCTCCGCTCCCATTCAGCTTCTATGAGGCCGACCTAACGGTCCTCTCCCGAACCGGGAATTGGCGAAAATATGCAGCCGAAACCAAAGAGGAAGGAAGTCATTCGTAATATGGCCTGAGATCTTTTTGCCTGTAGCTTTCGCGTTTTCAGATGCTGTGGCCTTCTCGACTTCTCGTGCACTTCACCGAAGCAACGCAGGTCACGCCCAAAGCTCATCCGGACTACAATGGCCTCAGAATCGAACACAGCCGAGCCTTATCAGGTCCGCTCAATTCGAACCTATTGTCTGCTTTTGTGTTTCCCCTCGCAGCAAAGTAGCTGGACAGACCGTTTTTAGCGTTAGGGTAGGGTACAATGGGCGGCACTATCGCAAAATACGGGAGCATTGTGGCGGCAATTCATTTGAAATCGCGTAACAAGTCCTTTGTTGAGAAAGCAGCGACAGTCTTTAAGGTGGAAAAAAAGAGAGACTCCAAGGTGCGTCACCCATTTCACTCTCCCTGGAATTTATCCCCCTTCTAGACTTAGTACTAGATGGATGCCCCCTTATGCTGCAATAGTGCCTACTGGGCTTTATGTCATGTCGACTGAAAAAGCCCCTCACTGTAGCGCGCTATCTCACAAAGAACTTGCGAACAGAATTCCGTCCAAGGCCACGTCTCCCGTTCAAATATCAAGCGGCATTTGAAGTTATTACTCTAAGGACTCAAAAACTAAGCTTCTCCTGCCCTTCACGCACTTCAGGCGCTTATCCAAGAGAATCGTTGAGATTTGTCTGGATCCGCCACTGAATTAGACTTTTGTGTTTGAAGTAACACCCCAGATCAAACCGTGGGCTCACAGTGGTTGATAATGAGTTTGTGGATGTTGAATTAATTAAAAATGTGAAGCCCAAACAAAAATTGGGGTCTGTCTCTTGAGATAAGAAGGGCGGGGCCAGACGATGTAGCGAACTTCCGCCTGTCTCAACAATTCAACCTAACAAGGCCGCGCGCGTATTTGAATTAGCCGCTACCGTAATCCACGCTGCGTATCATGGTGTGTGCGCTACGTAACTCGTCCAAATGCTGCGATTAGTCGCCAGATACTGACTTTGGATTACGTTAGCGCCGCTGTCGCGCACTTTTGAGCCGCGGCAACTACCTCTCTGGTGCTTACTATGCGCGCTTCTCATACCCACCAGGTGAATAGATTCTTCGCCGCGACTTCGCTGGGGGTGTTGCGGTGATGTATGATATTTCATACGTTTTTGCAATTTTGTAAGAAACTAAAAAGTATGCATTTTATTAATTTCCCCCAATTCACAGCTTGCATTGGACAATCCGTCGGTGACACTGCTCGGCTTCATGTCGCAACGGTACGGTCTGACGAAGCCGGTCTGGCAGAATACGAATTTCGTGGTGTTCGAGGAGCTCTTCAAATCAGTCACGCCCAACGGTTCCGGTAGAGTTCTTTACTTCTCCAAGCAGCATTCCATCTCTTTCTTTTGTTTCTGTTTCTCTGAGATGGCCTATGCAAGACTTGCACAAACACACCAAAAAACTCTGATCTATGACAGTTTAGTTGAACATCCACCGGAAGGTTGGGGTCGACCTCAGACACCTCGTCGAATTGGCGCCGGTGCCACTGAAACTCGCTGGCTTGGATCACGCCATCAGTGGACATTCTGCAAAGGTATGTTGAGGCCTAGGGAAAAGCATTTGAATTTATCCATTTCATCTCTCACTAAGAGAGCCTTTTTGTGAGGGGTACTGGAGTGAGGGATACGCCGTTGACTGCACTCGGCACTAATTCGCTGAAAAATTCATCCTACGACATTAACTACGGAATCTAACCATAAAGAGGAAAGTTTTGGCGGACAGTTTTTTATAATTCTTGTTGGTCACTTTTTTTTGACGTTGTGTGGGGGATGAAAACTCCGAGTTGTACATTGGCGGGCCCTCTAATTCATAAACGCGCCGGATTCATTCATGTGTCACGAGACGATTCTTCGAAAGAAATAAAATGTCAGGGAGGAAGCCGGGGTGCTCATGTGGTTGAGGGACACGGAACAGTGTGAGCCAGGAACAAAACCTGGGACAAGCCCTAGGGAGGGGAAGGGATTCCCTAAGGGAGTGTGAGCAACCTTTGATTCCCGCAGGCGTTCTCTCCTCTTCAGGCTTACCAGGAAGGTCTTTCAGGGCGTGACAAGCTTTTTGAAAACGGTCTTTTGCATGATATAGGGGCAGATGCGGGGACCACAGAACCATGTTCAATTTTTCCTGAACGGCCCTCTGAATACCAGAAAAGGGGTCCCTAGTTCGATTCCTCGTGGTGACAAATTTTTGCATTTCGAGTTGACGTTCCAAAATTCGCGCAAAATGGAGTTAGCATGAATAATTAGTACCATATTCATGATTAGGACCGTCAGTAACCCTTACAAAAAGACTTTGACTTAAAAATTGGTGAGAAGAGGTGTGACACCAAGCAGCCCCACTGTGGTGTCACACCTTTTTCACCAGTTTAGTTCGGTGTCGCTCGTTTTCAAATACCTTGTTTTGAAGTTCCCCCAAGACCATTAGCGCCGAGCGGTCCATCGGAACCAACAGAATGCTCCCACATATATGTAGTTAACAACCACACGAACCGTAATTCTACGCTCATCGACTGTTACGAAACGCGCCAAAATCTAGAAAATTCCATTTTTCTCAAAGTTCATCCATACGTTGTCGTGAAAACGAAAGTGACAATTATTAAGTTGGCATCCTTCTTGCAGATAGATGAGGCCTGAGCCTATACCAGGGGACGGGGAGGCTGTGGAGTGGGTGAACCACTCGCTCTGTGATCTGTCTGAGAATACAGAGCAAGTGGTTGCCAATGTTTTCCCACACGGCCGCGGTGAGGCGTCCCCTGCCCCTCCCTCTTCTGCAGCTATACAAGATTTCGCCGGCGAGAGGATTCGCGGCCGGCAAATAGTTGGGCGTCCGAGCCGGGAACGCGGCGTCACAAATAAAATAGTGCTATTGACTTTGTTTCGCTTGTCTTTGTAAAAGCGAACTTGTACTCAGCTCGTTGGAGCCATGCGGATGGTGGTGTGAGTGGACGCCGATCAGACACGAGAGGGTGCCTCGGCAAAGGGTCGCGAACGACATTCAAGCGAGAGAACAGCGCAGAGGAAACGCGAGGCGAGCAATAATTCCACACTGGGGCCAAGTCATGTGGTCGAAGTTCCGAAGGCGCGGCCCGACCGCCCAGTCTTCCACTCTTCTCATCGCCGGTCGTCGTTGATCCTGCTTCGTTCTCGGGCTACTTGGGATTTATGTGCTTTAGCTCTGATTTCTCAATGAACCTTGATTCTTCGTGTCTCTTTATGAGTTCCCAGCACTGTCAACACATTTCTACAAATTCCCAGTTTCTGTAATTGTATCTGCTTCGATTCTCTGAATAAAAAATGTTGCTTTGTGATTTCTAAAAATGTCCAACAAATAGCCGACACTCTGCGGGTAATAATGCTTGCAATGTACGCGTCAGATGGTCAACGCGCGATGTCGCGCGCACATGCGATTCAAATTCGAGCCGACTTCCGGCGGCTGACGAGAGTTTTGTATATTGCGTTTAATGTCGCTGTTGTTTCGCGAGAATTGATGCAGGCGCGTTGTATATGGCAATCACAAGGAGCACGCACCACCGCAATGGGCTCATATTCATACTGCAACCGAGTGCGACGTCCCGTGGTGACTTTATAGGGCACTTCATGGCCTGATAATGCGTCTGGACAAATGCACCCATAAATAATATGGCGTTCAAGCGTTCAACGCGGCACCGAATCAGAGTCCACCAACCGAGCGCCGCGTAGTAAAGGGTCCCGTCGCGCGCTGCCGGTCGGCCGCGGCAACGATGCGTCACGTCACTCCGGAGAGGTGGGGTGCTAAACTTAGTTGGGGGGGCACGCGGCGGCGCGGCAGTCTGCTCGCCTGGCATGTTCGGAAATCCGTGGGCCAGGGGGAGTGTAGGCAGTCTAGGGGGTGGGGGTGGGGGCAGTCACTTGACATGCGTGAAAAGCTGGAATGTTCGAGTTTACACTGTCTCGCTCGAGAGAGCCCAGGTGAGCAGACTGCCGCGCCGCCGCGCGTGCCCCCCCCAACTAAGTTAGCACCCTTTCGGCTTTGGGACGATGCCACGTCATCGAACTTCCCGCTGCTTGTTAATCAGCACTGTCCGCGCGCTCTAATTGTTGAGCGCTCGTGTCCGACACTCCACTCTTCACAACCGACGCCATGATCCTTAGCGCAGATGGCCCCTAGTATCACATGATAATAGAAAACTTCATGTCCCCCGGTTGCGTTGCGGGAGACTTCCCTCGAATCCCAGGTGCGAGAGGTAGCATAAGAGTTTCCCGCCCGTAACCAGGGTCAACCGTCTTTCCTTCTCCCATACCTTTCTCCGCCGGTTTCTGACCAATAAACGCGCTCCTACGACATCGCGTGACGCAGCCGCGAACAGAATAGCTGAGTGAGCTCCAATCTTCTTAGTAAAAAAAATTTTAGGAGGACGGGGAGGGGGTGGCTTTGTACAGAGACCCCTTATAAGAGGAGGGCGTAAAATGTAAATGTACAAACGCGAAGGTCAACCCTGCCCACCACTCTTGTTAAGCACTTTCTAGACTGACTCAGTTTCAGACGTTGTAATTTACTTTGCAAAAGATCGATCATCTTCTGTCATGAACTGAACTCTGGAGAGAATCGTTCGAGGGATGATGTATGGGGACATTTCTTCGCCCAAGCGAAACTGACAGTCTCCCAATACGTGGTCTGACGAAAAAAAAACAACTTTCACCTACCTCTAGAACCAGTTGTGCACTTTCATCGATGCAGTATCGACCCTGCGTGCCCTCTCTCATCTAAATAAGAACTTAACATCTAACTGCATACACCTGGTAGATAAAAATTTTTATTAGTACATCCGCATGAAGACAAAAAATAGAAAAAAGAAAAACATCACATCCACCGATAATGTTGAAAACGACAGATGAGGGTTTCATGACGCTGATACCCAAAAGACGCGCGAGAAAACTGAATCCTACAAAAAAATTGGAAAAAATGTGCACCATCGCCGCCCCTTGTTATCGTCGTCGAATGCCCTCAAATGTCAAGAACGAGGCATTATCCAGTCGATCATCACAATGGAGCCCGATCGGTAAAGTTAACAAGTAATGATAAATTGCGGTGTTAAACAATATCCACGGAGAAAACAATATGCACGCTACGGGGAAACACTCTCCGCGCAATTATTGTCCGAATACCATATTATTCGGTAACACACAGAAACATACACACATCGTAAGACGGAGCCGAAGGCGGGCAGGATACGTTACCATTTATATTCATATTACAACAATAACGTACATTCGATTAAAAGAGCATTAGCGTTACGATGAGTGAATGTGATTTACGACTTTGAGAGTTGGTTCGAGAGCCAGTCCAAACCTTCGTACAGTCCATGTCCTTGGGTGGCGCAAGTGGCTTGGATATACCACTGAAAGAAACAAAATAAAAAAACGTGAGAAAGCTTTCTTGATGTAATACTAAAGAAGATTCCATAAGACAACATCCCAAGGGGAAAGCGGAGTTTAATTTATCACGTAATTTGCCTAACTCTTGGAAGCAGGTCTTGGATGCAACTCTTGGACAGAATTAGGCACAACACAACGGGATTATTTCACTCATACCCCCCAAGCTGAAATATTATTAAGAAGAGGGTGCTTTTGAGACAGAAGGGTGCCTTTGGTGCCCAGAGCAGCAGAGCTGGACTTACAAGCTGTTACGGAAGTTGATTCACACCCCAAAAAAAAACAAAAAGCGAACAAACCTGAAATGGTCACCTTAATATAGGAAAAAAAATAAAGACCAGGCAAATTTTACTAGTTAGTGCTTTGAATGAGTGATGTAAAATTTTTTCAATTATCGATGTGACGGCAGTAATCATCTGAATATGATTCGAGTAAAAACGGAAAATATAACATAAAATGACATATGGATATTTTTGATTGAGATTTTTTTTTCATTTCGCCGTTAGTCTATCAAACTTTTTTTTTCTGTATAGCTGACTTTATGTGGATGGATCTCGCGTGTATCCAGTAATATGAATATGGTACAAAACAAAACGGAGCATATAATTTTATGCGGTCTCATATGTAAGGAGTAAGGCGTGCTAATAGGGCTGATGCTAAGGAACATGCTCGGGTTACAATGGGCAGACGAAAAGAAAATCTCAAATTCAAAGTGTATGCGAAGGAAGGGGGATCTACATTAGAGTTGCCGCAATTAAGGCACTATTATTAGGGCTTAGCACATCAAGCTAATCTTTAGCAAACGCAGCTGCATGATTATGAGCTTCTGCTTGCAAATTTGTAGAGAGAAGGCTGCACGATGAATCTAATAGATGAAGGTGAGTGAACTCAGACATAAATTTGTTCGCAATAATGTGTGTTTGAAATTGGTTTTTTGCAGGCAAAGAAAGCCTTTATGCAGAAGGGCAGAATCTATTTAGTCAGGACTATGGAGAACCTTCGGGCCTGGTGTTTTCGGAGTTTGACGTTATGGTCGTTTGTACCTCAACATGATTACACTGCCTTGGTTCAGAAGTAGAAACTTTGGATTCGCGGGAGTCTGTTAGATATGTGGCTGGACAGGCTGTTGCGGCGAGTGCATTTACAAAAGACACACGAAGTCAGTGGGGGTTTAATGGATGTTGTGACGCCTTTCTATTAGGGTATGGCCGATAATTAGTGAATTCACTGTTGGTTTTTTGATTCATTTGTTCTTTTTGGTATGTGGGTCTTTGGCTATCCACATAATCCCTTGTCGCTCTACAATGTATTGCCTAAACCAAGGAAATTTAGTTGCTGCCTTATCTCTAGAATTCCAGGAGCTATTGATCGAAGAATGATCGGAAGTCGAGTTTGAGGTCATGTCACTTAGCGTAAAGTTTCTTCCTGGAGAAGAGCGCTAGAGGCCAGACTGAGTTGTCTTTTGTTGACACGAGGATAGGGCCACATATAGGAGGTGAAAGAAGTGCTAGCCTGGGAAGTCTCCAATTTTTTATGAATATTCTCTGCAAGGTGGGGTCGAACGACCTCAGGAAAAAAGCAGACTTTGTCTTGCTTTACTTTCAAATTGAACGCGTCGCCATTGCGCTGTGGATGCTGATCTTCCTCCAGTGACTCCTGGTATTACTGGGCGGCGGTTCCCAGCGTAAGGTCACTCTCGTGCCATCAATATCTGAGAGGGTTGACTCAAAGGGGGTTGGCTATTCTTTTGCTCCCCGACTCCCCGAACCCTTTGCTAAGTGCTGCTTGTCAGCGATTTGTAGGACACTCACCGGTCCAGAACCTGATGTATGCCGATGATCAACTTAGGAATCGGAGATCAGAGGACATGTAATGTCGATCGTGTGGGGGTGTTTCGGGCTTCAAGCACAAGATATCAAACTAATATTTAAATTTTACCTCTACGTAGATGTCTCTTCCTTTTTAAGACGCGCGCGCATGCTGCCAAGAAAATGGCGACTGTTTGTTCCGATCCACCAGTGGCGTGGATAAACCCCAGTGAGATGTGGCCCTTGGGATAGTGGGGGATGTTTGGGGCTTTTTCATTCAAAAAGCCAACCTCTCGATAGAGTGAATTACAAGCAGACCGCGGATTGAGGGAGCGTGCCCTCGCCTATCCGCTGGTTGATTCTCTATGTTGTTGGGCGTATGAAAGATCCTAATCAGAAGTGATTAAGAGGGGAGCTCAAAAATAGGTTCCAGAAAAATTGAAGTATCAGCCACGGAAGGCAGCATGTACATGGGCCGAGCGTGTCCCAGGTAGTTGTGGATGTATTCGAAACATGTTTCATGCCTCACCATGGGTTTTGGTGTTGAATAACAGTAAATGTAACGGGATCACTATTATGGGGACACTAGGAGAACATTGTATACTTGTACGTGCAAGTGCCCGAAAGAGAACGAAAAACGCCGAGAGCTCTCTTCTTTTTTTTTTTTTTTCTTTTTATCACGATTTAGACAGTTCAAACGAAAGTGTAACACGGCTCATGGCAACCGAATAGTGATCAAAAACCGTTACCTGTCGCGAACGTAGATTGTGCAAGCCCAATTTATCCGTCAATTCAGCAGCGCTCATAGCGTTAGGAAGATCCTAAACATTGATGGTTTAAAAAAACACTGCAAAACCACCATGCGTACAGAAAACTCGCGTCACAAACGAAAACGGAAACGAACCTGTTTGTTGGCAAACACAAGGAGGGTTGCATCCCTCAACTCGTCTTCATTGAGCATCTTGTGAAGCTCTTCGCGCGACTCTTCGATTCGCTCGCGATCATTAGAGTCCACCTGTGAGCAATTTAAAAGTAGGAAATGGTGTGAAAACGCATAAATAATTGCGCCGAAAAGCAACAACATCTTGTCGATTGAATCAAAAATCACTGACGTAACGGCAATGGAAAAGTTTGCCCAGTAAATATTGCGAAAACGGATTTCAATCGGTGGAAATTCTTACCACAAAAATTAAACCCTGAGTGTTCTGGAAATAGTGCCTCCACAAGGGACGAATCTTATCCTGACCTCCAACGTCCCATACGGTGAAGGAAATATTCTTATATTCGACCGTTTCCACGTTGAATCCTGAAGAATATTTCGATAATTGTCAACATTTGAATAGATTTAACCCAAAGCTCCAATAAATAGAACAATAAAACCACGTTGAATCTCACCGATCGTCGGAATCGTAGTCACGATTTCTCCAAGCTTCAGCTTGTACAATATGGTCGTTTTACCAGCCGCATCGAGACCGACCATAAGAATTCGCACCTTAAACGAGCAGAAAAGATATCGCGATTTAAAGCTCAGAAAAGACTTCATCCACCTACACAATCTCAAGACTGGCTACCACACCCCATAACCTCCTAATATTTCTATTGAAATTAGCTCAAAAGCATTAGCAGAATAGTTCTTGAAGCACATAAACCAAATTATACGTGATCTCGAAGGAGAAGACCTGATAGAGATCAATTTGACAAACACTCCAAGGATCAACAAGGTTTGCACATGAACCTATTGAATTCGCAGTTTTCAAAAGATATCTCACATATGGGTGATTCACATTGGCAGTTCAAGGAGCAACTCTGCTTGGATCTTAGCGATGAAAATCAAGCTGACGAAAGCTCCAAGACAAAAGAATGGTGCAGATGGTGAAGGATAGCAAAAGAAGCCTCACTTCACTTGTTACAT